TTGAAAATCGTTAAAAATCGTCGGTTCGACGACGATTGGATTTCATTGAAGGTGGAATAATTATGGGCTCTGAAGGAAAATATTAATGAAAGTAACTTACAGAACAAATCGATGATAAATTACCAATTTCATTTATATTTCTTTTTATTTTTCTCCTCAATATTGTTATTCTTTATAAAAGCATTCTCTTTCACTTTTCTTCTTTTCTTTAAAATGTGTAAAAGAACAATAAGATGTGTAACATGTTATATTCAATATCATATTTACATTGATCCATGAATGATAATTCATGACTAATAATGTGAGATTGTGTAGGCTTGATTATTAAGTGCTGATATCCATTGTTGACTACCATAAAATAATGTACGAAATGCATCCGCTGATTCGTCTGTTGATATTAAAAAATAGCCATTGGAGAAAATCGACGATTATAATCAGACGTTCCAAATACTAATAATGGTAATTCATTTATCGTTATTTTGTCAGTGCAGTCAATAGTCAGCAGAGGTGGGAAAAAATCAGATGAGTGTTTATTTAGGCATTTTTTGCCAGTAAATATTTATATTTTTTGCTAGGAATTTTTAAAAACAATATCATTCACAGTAATATTAGTAATGCCGCCGAAATGATTATTTGTAAACCCCTACTTAAACATGTTAATAAAATACACTTCTTTTCTAGTTTTGATACCCTTTTGCGCACAGCACAGAAAGCTACTTCAGAGAAAATTAAAGACTATTAGTATAGCCTCTGACTTTGTCACAACTATTGACCATACTCCACTATCGGACAAAAAAAAAATCAATCTAAAAAGCAAATCACTTTCTATATTCTGTCCATTATAGAGTCCATGAAAACAGATTTTTCAGTCCATGGACCCTTAAAAGTAGTCCAGTTCAATTCACAATACAAAACAACATGTTTTTTACTGATTATTCCTCGGTTCAAGTGAATCAAAATTTAAAATGTGATATGAATCTGCTCGCATAGTTTTGGTTCAACAAAACTTTTGTTCGTGAGGGCAGTGTGAGAATGAGTTAGAGAAGTAGTTTCACATAAGATATTTGCATGACACAGTGTAAATTTGCTTGAGTACTTGATTGAGAGAAATAAGGATAGAACAGAAAGAAGCAAAGCACAATCGAACACTTGAACTTTGAATTCAAATGCAAAGAATTTACTTTTGGACTAAATTGTCCAAAAGTAAACTCTGAGGTGTTCTCATCCCCATCCTGTGCATTGCTATAGTGTGTGCTATCCTGGCTGCTCAACCCATACAGCTTACGTCCTTGATCAGTGACCAAAGTCTGTATACTCTGTGATGAATCATAGAGAGAAAATATTATAGATAGTACTTATCTAGTATGCCAGTATTTCAAGTTGAAGCTATTTTAAAATTTTTCCAATAATTCCATCCAGTAATACCCGTTGTTTTGTTAGTTTTCTTAACATCTATTTACAGTAATTCGCGGAAGAGTCGGTTCACGGAAGAGCAGTTCACGGAAGAGACGGTCTCCTATTCTCGGTAGAGCAGTTCGCGGAATAGACGGTTAATCGTCTCTTATGTATGAATATTTTTGAACGATAGAGTAAAATATTGGTAAAAACCATCATTAATTTCACCTCATGAAAAATTTCAGTCACATCTACAGTGGTACTTATTTTTTGTATGTTTGCACTTTATAAGTTGGTCTCACACAATGTGATCGTAGCATCTGGAAATTGTTGCTTTTATAATACGTAAAGCGCTTTTCCCACTCTACACGTGTGTGAGGTGTGTTTCGCTATTCTAATCATCGATATAGAAATGTATTATTATATCAATAGTAAAAAAATAACAATAAAAATAACAATATAGACATAAAATAATGAAAATGAATAAAAGTAGTTTATCAGGGCGAAAGATTACATGAAAAATTATATCGTGCTATGTGCACGAGCGCATCTGCAACCATTTAGAGGAAGAGGAAGAAAAAAAAACCATGAGTCAAGTTTTTTTCGAGAAAAAATTTCTAGACGTGTTTTTTTCTATTAAATATAAATATATCGAACCATAAAATAATAAAACATTTGAATTTATGTATATTAACTCATGTGTCTAATGAGCGCTTAACAAAGTTATCGCAAGTTTTTTCACAAGAAGACATAAAATATTTGTAATACTTTACGATTCTCCTACTCCTCTTCCACGTATTAATATTTCTGTCACTTCTCCACATTTTGCATTTGATAATTTCATTGCTATTCTTATATCTCTTTGTATACAGCATTAGCTAAAAATGCAAGAAACAATTTGAATCTTTTACTTGGTCAAAGAGTGTTTTTCTTCAAAGTATGTAAACATATTTATCCAAATGAGTTGTATCATACTGTTTCAAGACAATAGTCTAATCTCCATCTTAATTAAAAATTTTCAAGAAATATTTCTGATTCTCTCTATCCAATAATATTAATCAATATCTTTATGTTGTATTTTCTATGATATTCAATTTCACACATTTGAGACACTTTCTCCTCATGTGTCCGTTGGCATTATCGTACCACAAAAACATGATACTTTTGTCCTTTTTTTAATCATAGCTACCCTTGATGTTATCCGTAGGTCACACAAACGTATCATTGAATATGCAAGCTAATTTCAGTGTCGTTTTCGATTTAAGGGTACCCCCTTCTTTTGTGTAAAAAGTTCGGATTTTGAACTGAGCATAGCCTAATGTAGAGGAAAGTGTGGGCTACAAAATAAGGCCACTCCTAGTACTCTCCGACCTTTTTTCAGAAAGTTATGGATTTTTGAAGTTTTTGCTTCAAAACCTAAAAACACTCAATTTTTTAGTTTCATAAAGTCATTTTCTGCACATGCAAATTTTTCTTACACATAGTCTGATAGAAGAAAGTATTTTCTTCACAATAAGGCATTTTACAGAATTTTCCAATGAATTTTCGCGGAGATATAAGCATCGCGACAAATGCTCTGAAAAAAGTGACCTATGTACAAAATGCTTTTTTTGCTCGAAAACTATTTTTTTGCTACTAAGCTTCCTTATGGTACATTACGACCCCCCTTAAATTTCATCCAATCGGGTTCAGAATTTTACCTGAGGTACTCAAGACACTATTGCAGAAATAAGTTTTTGGAATTTTATTTTAAACTTTTCTTTACCGACTTATAGAGTTTCTAAAACTGACAAACTTAGCTTTTGAGACGTTTTTCAGTATTTTTCCTGTAACTCGACCAGGAAAGGTCTCAAGAAAATGTCCCAGAAATTACCTCTGCGGAACGACCTTGAGTACCACTGGTAAAATTTTCAACTCGATCGGATGAAATTTAATGTGGAGGGGTGTCGTCATGTAGCACAATGAAAAACCGAGTTCTCTAAAAAAAACTGGTGAACAGTAATAGTTGAAAAGTTGAAATAAAAACGAAAAAGGGCTCTATTGAGTTTCCCATCAGTTCGGAAAATACGAAGCTCTAGCGACTTTTAATTTTTATTTCACACTATTTCTACGGAAAGCCCAAAAAGAGGGAAGGGGCACCCTTAATCTAGTCTGATATCAATTGTTAGACGAAAATAAAATGCATTGCTCGAAAGTAAAGACAAAAGTACATTACTCTGTCAAACATATCAAATCAGAAACATGTGACTATGCGTGAAAGATCAATAAAATATTAGTCGACAATTGGAAACACAATTGATTTTAACAAATAGAAAATATTCCTTATTCGAAGATTCAAATCATTTTTATAATTTCGACTAGTGCTGTATTCGAATATATTTCTATAAGAAACAAAATACACAAATTTAATAATTATAAACAACACCATAGTGCTAATTTAACTCTACCATTCTTGTTCTGTTATAGTTAGTTCTTGTGACATATTATCATACATTCTTTCTTCAAATACTAATTCACCAACAATATATTTTTGTAATAGTCTAGAAGCATGTTTACTATGAGGTTTATCAGTAAATGCCATTGTGGCATCACTACCAGCATATTCCATCATTATATCGTGACCACCTGGATGCTAGAAAAATTAATAAAAAAGAAAAAAATAATAAAAAATTTATTATAGACATGAAAGTGACTAGTAAAAGATAAATACTTCTTTTATAAAATTTGTTAAATCATAAACAATATCTCGAATAATCATCCAACAATCATTTTCTCTATAATGATTTGACACTTCTTTTAAAGTATATTCTTTTCGTTTTGATTGAGTTAGTAAATTATTTAATATAATACTTTGTAAATTATTGAGTATGTCTATAAAAAAAAAAATCATAAATATTAGACTTAATCTTGTCATCAGAATCATAGCTTTCACTCTTTCATCGAATACGATAAAAAAAATAAATAAAACGATAAAAACTACTTACTTAGTGCCATATATGGAACAGTCTACGGTGCTATAATATTAAATTAACAAACAACAACAACAAAAAGTTCGTTTTTCTTGACTTATAGAATGTGAATTTTATTTTTAATTAATTAAATTATTTGTAATAAAATATTTTAAAAATTGAATGACTAAATATCATAAAATTGGAAATTACGAATTTTTTATACTATGTGTCTTCTAATGAATATTTAATATTTAAATAACTGGTGGTATCAATATTTTATAGACTGCAAAAAATTGTCATCAATATTGAAAAAAGGATTCTTGGTAATAGGCAGGTGTGAGCAGAGAGAGAGAGAGAGAGAGAAAAAGAAAAATCTATAGATTTGATATGTACAAAAGAAGAGAGAAAAGAGAATAAGAAAAAAAATATAGTTATAATAATTTGCTATTGTAATAATACAAAATGACAAAATACTGTTATAGGAGACCATTCACAAATGCGTAATAAAATAATCGTATGTTTATTCACAATATTCTACTATGAATAATGCAAAAAAGCGTCACTATTACGAAGCACATTAATGACTTCATAGCAAGGAAAAAAAAGCATTACTTCACTTTCAACGTCACTTTTTGGCGTCAAAGAAATTTTAAAATATTCATGGAGTGAACTAGTAAAGTGAAAATGAAGAACATAGAGATGGGTGAGATGTTAGCTGATGTATTTTTGTTTAACATGGAGACAAGCAACGTTTAAGCGCTAAATCCACCTTACATGTATTTATTCAATAAAACTGGGAGCAGTGCAATAAATAGATTTGTCAGAAATAAAAAATCGGAAAAACTTAATGAAATAACAATATCAATGTCACAAATTGACTTGGCTAGAAGTGAAGTGAGTTTCATGCGAAGTGAAATGAACGGAAATGAAGTGGAAAATTGATGCTTTTTTCCCCCTTGCTTCGTAGCCTTTTGCAAAAATAAAACGATGTTCTACAGTTCTTCGGCGTCACATTTAAAATGGAAAATTTTGATTTTTTCAACCTTTTGGCTGGTGTGGCTAACGGTCCTGGTTTTTCGCTCGTTTATTATTGCAATAAAACTACAAACTAATCTAAACTTGCAACTAGATAATTAAGTAGATTAAACATTTCTCTATGAAATGAAAAGTGTCTGGGCTCTGAACGTTGATTCGTTAAGAAGAATCAGAAAAAATGGTAACACAGTGACACTTTTCACCGCTTTTGTCACAGTGTTACCGTGTTCTGATTTTTCTGTGATTAATGCAGATTAATTAGACAGTTTCGAACTTGAAAAGCATATCACATTTTGTAGAGCAAACAATTTTCTACAAACTAGTATACTTGTTCAATTTTTTGCCAGCTTGCCATCACTCTTTTAGACGCGTTTTTCAGATAGTTTCCAAATCGGTCTTTTAGGTTGTTTGTACAACAAGTGTATTTTCATAACGAATCAACGTTCAGAGCCGAGACACTTTTCATTTTAGAGATAAATGTTTAATCTACTTAATTATCTAGTTACAATTTTAGATTAGTTTGTAGTTTTATTGCAATAATTATTTGAAAACGGGCGAAAAAGGAGGAATTATTTGAAATGAGCGTTAGCTGGACAAGCCGCCTTATTGAATAACTTTGAAAACTTCGTTCTGCACTGTACATTACATTCCTGACAGTTACAGGCGTTTTGAATCTTTATCAGGTTTGTGAGTGCTCCGACAGAGAAACTAGGGGGAAAACTTGAGCCCGGACTGAAAGATCACCGGACTTTGGGATCGGGTCGAAAGTTATGTAACTCCGTCCGAACATCCTATTATGCTGATTCCTATTTATAGGAATCCTTTAGGATTTTTGCTACCGTCCTATATCAAGTATCCTATGGAATTCCTGCTGTAGGATTATATAAGATCCTACAATAGGAATCCTATGAAATCCTATTATCAGTATGGCATACTGATACAATTTTGCAGCAGCTACATTCTCATCTATCTGATTTTCAAAAAAACTCTTTTCGTCTGGTTATAGTAAAGAAATAAAGAAAAACCCACTTTACAAGAGCTTTTTGGCGACATTTGGTATTTAAATTTTTTCTCACTCAAATTCAATTACAAAAGTTTTGTTTTATATGTTTTCGTGAAGTCCAGATTTTGGTCTTTCTAACGGAGAAACAATTAACCCTTCCGGATGTTTTGGGAGATAGCAATAGTGGAAACAAAAAAAGGAAAAAACTTTGCATCTCCCGTTAGTTGAAAATTTTACCAAATATGCTCCCCGGCGACATGGACTAGTGATGAAAAAATCGGCGTTTTATCTCTTCTCATTCGGAAGGAAAAGTGTGAGAGACTGTAGCGTTTTCGTCAAAAGATGCAGCCATTGAGATTAACAGCTTGAACGAAAAATCATATGAAACCTACCTACTTTTTCCACGCATCGATTCAAGCAGCGGAAATGCGATACAACACAATTACTTAGGGATGGAAAGCTCATTGAAAAGATTCTTTTTAGCAATCAGTAGCTCGTTTACTTCTCTACAAACTTTGCCCGAGGCGTTTTTTATTAGATCTTCTGAATTCGCAGCAAGTTAGCATTTAATGAGAAGAACTTTGAATTTAGAGCCTTTTTTATCACAGTGTCACGCGCCGAAAAACGGTTCTAAAAATTCGAGTTTTTAACCACATATCTTAATTTTCATACCAAACGTAGAGTATGGCGAGCTGCGTCGAATGGCGCAAGAACGAAGCTTCTAGCTCTTACACTTTTTGACGAAGGCTAAGGTAATCGACAATGCTGAGTTTTGTGGGATTATTTATTTTTAGAAATAGTTCTAAAAATCTACCGAAAAGTTAGTTTTACGAAAATTAAGGTTTTCAGGCTCTTTTCACCTAATATTAAAAAAA